ACATATATATATATATAAATATATATATATACATCTGGGTACATACTGATCAGTATAGTTCTGCATCTTTATATCATCTACTACTCATATGACACTGTTATGTATTAAAGTACCTGATGCATTCTACATTCTATCCTTCACAATCGTCCATAACATATACGCAAAAGTCATCCAGCTGTATATTATACCTACCTTCACCAAGTAGGCTCCTGATCTCGTCGATATCCTGTGCTAGTTGCATTACACTACGGAAACCCCCTGCATGTATGCCGGTCGCGCCTTCATTGCAAATAGCGGCGACCAGTCGAGGTGTAGACACTCCCGCCATAGGGGCTAGCACCACTGGCAACCGGCGAAAACGTTGTAGCACACGTTGCACCTCGATACGCATAATTTATTACTGATATGTAACTGTGTTTACTGTTTGCCATCATATAAATGCGTGTAGTACATATTGTAGACTGTAGTTTGTACATTGTACAGTATGTAGTTTGTACACTGTACAGTATGTATCAAACTTCGAAGTCGGTATGAGTCATCAGTAAAATTGGTGGTTCTTATTGGGCGATGCAATCACAATCTCATCTCATCTCATCCGTGATTCCGTATATATATTTTTGATTACATTTCTGATTTCATTACCTGTCTTCTAAATTGAACACACATTTTTTAAATTCTTATTGCCAGAGAGGGTGGAAATTGGAATGTGGAATACGATGTATTCAGTAATACTGGATTGTATGTTACGGTTCGGTTACATACCATGGATTCATGGAACATACAACAATTTGAAAAAAAATAGAATAGGGCGAATAGATTTCGAGATTTACCACAATCTACTCTAGATATGAGTCATGAGACTCGGTGAATGGAGTCCCGCCGATGTATATCTTGAAGATTCAAGTGGGTAGGTTACAACTCCAGTTGGGAATTCCTCTAGTTTGTAGTCGTAACAGACCACGAATTGGCGCTCTACTTCGTCCTCTGAAATATCGCACTTAGGAGTTTGGTAATTAATATAGCCTTAAAATCAAACAATAGATACAGAAACCGCAATTCACTTCTCGGGAGGAAAGCTATTATAAAAACCAATTCCTCGTCATTTTCTTCTATATGTAGAAACGACATCCTCTTTTTACATGAAAGGCGAAGGAAATCTGAATTTAAAATCGTACCCGTGGTGCAGAAAAACGATAGAAAATACACAGGCATCAGCTTACAGATCATACGGTGAATTGTCGGCGGATGATTGGTCTTCAACGTAAAGCTCTCGAAAAATACGTTATTATACTACGATATTTAGCTTTATATACAATTCGCAACACCCTATAGATGTTTGCATGATCTTGGGTTGACTGTCAATACACACGACGAAGCGGGCACATGCATCTACACAACGAGTCGAGTAACTATAGTACAGCAGAACAGCGCAGTAGGCGATTGTAAGTCCTATTAATCGATCAGGCGCTAATGAGCTCTGTCAGCGAGCCTGATACGCATACGTAATACGCTGTTATTTAATATTATAGTAGCCTTCTATTCCTGTAATCGCGGTAAACCTTATTGAGGCTGAAGCACTGCACAGGCTTCTATACAATAGAAGCAATACTCGACGTGCTTATGACCATACATCCTGCGCATATCTGCCTCTACTTTGAAGATCCCGGATATACTTCTCCGCTCCTTCGAAGGAGTGGCCTCCATGTTCGACAATCAGGTCATGCAGAATCTGATGGACATCCTTAGCCATATTTCTCGCATCACTAGATAAGCAATCAAACAGAATCGAGTATTAATTAACGCGTATACAGAATCTATATGAGAACGCAACGGAAGGGTCAGATTGCATCGACAACATGTGTTTAAATACATTATATATATATATACATATATGAACACATATATGTACATATATGCGCGCAAATACGTGAATACAGCTGTAAAGTCACTGCACGGAGCAGGAGAGAATAAAGCACTTCCTGTACAGGCAGAAAAAAAAAATGCCAGATCACTTTAGTTACCCGTCACTGACATCCCAGGAAAGTAGCGAAGGAGCAAACGATACAGTATATGGAGCTCATACCACAGAAACATACCCACAAACGTAGATGTGCCCTTTCTGGTCAAGCATATCCCAGATCTGCTTCTTGTGTTGCTTCATCAAGTGTGAGACATACACCTTCTCAGCAGACTCGCGCGAGAATGCCACTTGTAGGTCATCCACGACACCGCTGGCGTTGAACGCTTCCAGCTCTTCCTGGTACAGATAGTCTTCGTTGCGATTCCGGCAACCATAGAATAACATTGATTTGCCAAGTTTGTCGTCCCCTTCTGTTGGCCACAAGATCATTTGCAGATTTAGTACCAATGGCGAAGCATAAAATCATACTCGACTGCTAGATCACAGACAGAACATCGGTTACGTTAGGATACGTCGCAGTTTCAAATATAGTCACTTGTAATATCTCTTTATGATATAGGCACCCTGAATCTTTCAAGGACATACTCATTAAATACAGATATATCATGAGATTGTAGGTAAAACATGTTGTT